TGCACATACACCTCCCACTGCTCCTACCCGTGCTGCCAACGAGGAGCCTGCACTTCCTTCCGTCCTGAGAAGACGAGCTCGACCAGAGACAAAAAGCTCGCTGCGTCACAAACTTCGCTCATTTGCAGGCGCCATTTTTTGCTTCCCCTGAAAAAAAATTTTTTTAAAAAGTAATCTTCCAGGATTTTAGGAACTCTTTCTGTATGAAAGAGATTAGCCCCCTTCTACAGTAAGTAAGTAGTGTTAGTCGCTCAGTCATGCATGACTTTTTGCGATCCTATGGACTGCGGCCCACCAGGCTGCTCTGTCCATGAGATTTTCCAGGCAAGAATACTGGGAGTTGGTTGCCATTTCCTTCTCCAGGGGATCTTCCCGACCCAGGGATGGAACCCGGGTTTCCTGTACTGCAGGCAGATTCTTTACCAACTGAGGTACAAGGGAAGCCCTTCTACAGTATGAACTGCAAATATTTCCCCTCAGTTTGCAATTTGTCTTTTGACTTTGTTTATAATAGTTAAAAAAATATGTATCTTTTTGAGTCTTTGCTTTCCATTCTTTTTGTATACATTCTCCTGTCTTTTTTTTTCCCATTTATTTTTATTAGTTGGAGGCTAATTACTTTACAATATTGTAGTGGGTTTTGTCATACATTGACATGAATCAGCCATGGAGTTACTTGTATTCCCCATCCTGATCCCCCCTCCCACCTCCCTCTCCACCCGATTCCTCTGGGTCCTGTCTTATTTTAAAGAATATTGAGACCGGGAACACAGCTCCTCCCCTTGTAGGTTGGTCTCAGTGCTGAGCAAGGAAACATCAGTTTTATTTCAACATCATACATTGAGTGAGTGCCCGAGAGAGGGGCTTGCTTGGCTAACTGTTCTCTCTTCCCAGGACTTCCCCTGGGTCTGAACTTTGGAGCAAGGATCTGCAAAATCAGTTCCTAAGTTCGAAGTGGCAGAAACATAAAGAATATTTGAATTCACCCTCTGTCTTCCCCAGTTTTAAATGAATTTAAAACACCACCCTTTTAAAAAAATACATGTTCACACTATTCACCTCCTTGAAGTCAAAGGAGGATTAAGTTTAAATTAAATATTATTTATTTACTATTTATTTCATCACGTGCATCTCTAGGTCTCCTCTCTAAAAGAGGAAGTATTCATGTATACATTTTGTACATATGTTTCTAGCCTTCTCTCTCTTTATAAAATAGATTTAATTTTTTTAGAGCAGTTTTGGGTTCAACAAAATTGAGCAGGAGTTACAGAGATTTTGCATAAACCCCTGGTCCCGATTGATAAAAGCCTCCTCCATTATCAACATCCTCTACCAGAGTGGTATAATTGTTACAATTGATGAACCTATGTTGACACATCACAATCACCCAAAGTCTACAGTTTGCATTAGGGTTCACTCTGGGCGTTGTACTTTCTATGGGTTTTGGTAAGTGTGCAGTGACATTCATCCACTTTTATGGTATCTTTGAAGGTATTCTCACTGCTCTGAACATCCTCTGTGCTTCACTTAGCCATCTCTCCCTTCTTGACTGCTGGCAACCACTTCTCTATTTGTCTCCATAGTTTTGCCTTTTTCAGAATGTCATATAGTTGGAATCATACACCCGGTAGCCTTTTCAGATCAGCTTCTTTTGCTTAGCATTCATGTTTCTTCCACATCTTTTCATGGCTTGAAAGTGCATTTCTTTTAAGCGCTGAACAAATATCCCACTGTCTGGAGGTGCCAGAGATTATTTATCCATTAGCTACTGAAGGGCATTTGGTTGTTTTCAAGTTTTGGCAATTGTGAATAAAGCTGTTAGAAACACCTGTGCGTGGGTATCAGTATGGACCTAACTTTTCAACACCTTTGCATAAATATCAAAGTGCACTCTTGCTGGGATGTATGGTATGTTTAGTTTTGTAAGAAATGGCCAAACTCTTCTGAGGTGACTATACCATCTTGCATGCCACCAACAATGAGAGTTCCTGTCACTCCATATCCTCACTAGCATTTGGTATCAGTGTTCCAAATTTTGGCCATTCTAATAGGTGTGTTATGGCATGTCGTTTTTCAAATTTGTATTTACCTAGTGTCATGTGACGTTAAACATCTTTTCCTATGCTTATTCATCATCTTTACCTCCTTTGGTGATTGTCTTTTCAAGTCTTTGTTCTATTTTTTAACTCAGGTTGTTGATTTAACATCCAGTTTTAAGGGTTCTTTGTATATTTTGGATAGTTGTGCTTTATCAGATATACCTTTTGCAAATATTTCTCCCAGTCTGTGGCTTCTCATTCTCTACCCAGCATCTTTTGCAGAAGTTTTAAATAAAATTTTAGCTTATCAGTTTCTTTCTTTTATAGATGATGCCTTTAGTGCTATATTTTAAACAGTCATTGTGGTCTGGGGGTTCTAGTTCTACATGTAAGGAACTTGGAAGGTGCTAGAGCTAATAACACATCAACAGCCAATCAAAGTGAAAAATCAACTCTTCTAGGATACGTAAGAGAGGGAAGGACACAGGGGAAATTGTCCCCGAGACTGGAGAAGTTGATAGGCAAATACAGAGAATAACAATTCACTGGAGCTGAGATTCATGAGCTGAAGTTGCTCAGGGATCCAGTACTGAGCAGGAAAACAGGAACTGCAATGACTTGCTAGAGGCTGAATGTGGATAACCCTGAGAGCTCAAAACTCCAGCGGGACCCAGTCACCAGGGACCACGACAATTCAGAGAGATTTATTTCCAGGAGCTCAAATAGGTTTTCATAGTAAATACTGGAGAAAAATATCCTTGTTCTTCAGGCAGTAGGAGAGAGAGAGGAACCATTTTGAAATAAACCACAGCCTCTGTTCTTAACAACCTTCCCTTATGAGAACTAGCTGACCAGGGCCTAAATCAGCAGGTGCTCACTGTGTGTGCAGGTCTACTCTGTAGAATCTCAGTTCCAATACAAAACTCAGCAGAAAATGCTAGTGTTAATTCTTACAGCAACTCTATGAACTGATGGTAGTAGGAGTCGCATTTTATAGTCTTTTTTTATTTTTGGCTGAACTGTGGGGCATGAAAAGTGAAAGTGAAAGTCGCTCAGTTGTGTCCAACTCTTTGTGACCCCATGGACCCCATGAACTGTGGGGCATATGGGATCTTAATTCCCCGACAGGGGATTGAACCTGTGCCCCCTGCATTGGAAGCACAGAATCTTAACCACTCTACTATGAGGGAAGGACTGAGACTAATCTTACAAATGAAGGGACTGAGGCACTGGGAGCTTCCCAAAGCCACATGGCTATTAATAGTAAGTGGCAGAGCTGGGCCTTGATCTCAGGCAGTTTGAGGTGCCTTCATACCATACGGTCTTGCAGCAAACTTGCTGCACTTACAGACTGTAGTCGGCCAGACTTCTTGTTACACTTCTGCTTTCTCCTAGGACCCCAAGAGCACTTGAATATCTTCCAAATATTCCTACTAAATAACTTTGGCAGAAAATTTTCCCACTTAGCAGATAGAAGAGACCCAGAGTCCCAACAGAGTTTCCTGGGAGTTGTGATGCAACCTGGCAGTCCACAGCAGCCATGGTTTCCTGAAAACTCCAGCCTCTTCATACCGCCATGGATTCGATCCATGGTTTTCTTCTTTTTAAACTTTTTAAAACAAAATTAAGTATAGGTATTTTACGACGTTCTGTTAGTTTCAGGTATACAGCAAAGTGATTCAGCTTTATATATTCTTTTGCATTTAGGATATTACAAGATATTATAGTTCCCTGTTCTGTATTTTTTGTTGTTCACTCAGTCATGTCCGACTCTTTGTGAGCCCATGGACTGTAGCACACCAGACTTCCCTGGCCTTCACCATCTCCAGTTTGCTCAAACTCATGTCCATTGAGTCAGTGACGCCATCCAAAAGTAAGTCCTTGTTATTTTATATGGTAGTTTGGATCTGTTATTCCTAAACACCTAATTTATCTTATGCTTTGTATAACATTCTCCGGACTTGTAAGCAGAATTATGAAAGTAGAGATGAATAGAATTACTTTTCACATCAGCCTTTGACCAAGTAAAGTATGCCAAGAATCCTATTAGCAAAATGAACATGTCACCTACATATTGTCAGATGTTTTATTCATTATTAGCTCTATCGGCCAGGTGGGGATTGGCCAATTGAAGTCCTGCACCACTCCCTTCCCCTTGTTCTGGACGCAGGTCTTCAGAGCAGATGCTAAGCTGCAAGTCTGGCAGCCAGGTCTCAGCTGAATGGGAACTGATAACCTTTTATATTATTTGTTTGCATTGGATCTCAGTTACAGCCATGTGGACTTAGTTGCCCCGTGGCATATGGGATCTTAATTCTCTGACCAGGTATCGAACCTGTCTCCCCTGCATTAGAGGGCAGATTCTTAACCACTGGGCCACCAGCAGTCTTCAGATGACCTTTGTAACGCCAGGTGCTCCTTCAGCTTAGATGCCCACTGTGATGTCTTATGATTATAAAATAACAAGGAAAAGTGAATCATGCTCAGTGACAAAGGGACACAAGTGCTCTTCACAGGGTGCACCTTCTCTAGCCTGAGTCACAGCCACCACAGCAGCGCCAGCACAAGAGGCAGGTGGTCCGCTGGCTCCTGCGCCACCCCCCCACCCCCCATACAAGGAGCGAGTGAGGTCTGCAGGGACAGCGGTTAGCTGGCCTCCCCGTTGCCTTGGCAGCCAGTGTGGCGTCTGTCTCCAAGGCGCGTGCCCCGTTGTTGTAAAGGTACTTCTCAGAGGCAGCTGTGTTTCTGCTGTTGCTGGACCTCAGGGACTCCCACGCGGGCTGAAGGTGAGGATAAGGCCCTTCATGCAGGTCTCACGAGAGACCTGTCCCATGGTGAGAGGGACCCGTTGTTTTGTCTTTTCCGGCAGTTTTAGGGCAGTCGCATTAAGGTTGGTCAGGTTGAAGGGAACAAAGAGGGAAATGAAAACACTTCAGAGCTAACTTTTACCCACATACTGTATACTTTAAAAACGTTTTTATTGAATATTAAACAATTACAAGTACTGTAAGTTAGACATTTAGCCAAAGCACAAGTACAGGTTAAGTATAATCATAAAGATGTCTTAAATAGAAACCCACCATGCAGGCAGGTTGAGTTCCTTGATGCCCTCTTTTGGAAAGAAGAGGGTGAGGGGGGAGAAAAAGGTCCTCCATTCCGTGTGAAAGAGAGTGAAGTCTAGAGGAATTTACATGCTGTAAGCAATTTCCTACGACCAAATCAACAGGCCTGCCAGATTTAGTAAAACTAAACAAAACAAAGCCGAAAAGCCCAGAATGTTCAGTTAAGTTTGAATTTCAGATAAACAATAATTTTTTACAGTAAATATATGCCAAATAATGCAAACCATACTTAAGCAAAACAATTATTTGTCTGAAATTCGAACTTAACTGGGTGTCTTTTATCTGGCAATTCTACAAATAGACAAATGCAAAAAAGGACAGGAGAGTGAACTGGAACTCCCTGCCACTGGTGGGTCACAGAGACTACAAATAAAAACATTACCAATAATGAACCGAAGAGTCACTACATTGGTTATGTACACAGACCAACATCACAATGAGAAAATACACTTACTACTTCAAATGCTGTTGCCAGGAAACACTCTTGATTTCCTCAAAGCTGGTTTTGTAAATGTTTTTGAGAAACCTTGATATAAGTACCTTTCAGTCTGTAGGTATCAAAGACAATAGCCAGGGTGAGCTTGAAACAATGGAAGCAGAAGCAGGTATTCTATGCACATGAAGGGTTTAAATATTCTGTGTCATGAACATAATGGTTATATAGTCAAGGTCCGCTTCTAGGTGTAGGCTATTAGCCTCAAAGATCTTGGCTCCTTTCTAATTTTTATTGTTGTGTTTTCTAGCTTTTCTTCCTGAGCCTTGGGAGGGGCTGGGAGTGTGTAAGGGACCGCCCCCGCCTCCACCAGGGTTTAACTGTACTTCTCTGCAAACACTAAGAGACAACAAGGGGCTTTTCAAGAGCTGCCTGTGGAAAAGGGCAGGCAGATAAATAAACACTCTAAATCCTAGAGCATGAGAAATCTGTTTGAAAAGATGGGTGGTGGGGTGTGTATGGAGATGTGAAAGTGTAAAGCATAAAAGAAAATGTGAAAAAATGAAGAGTCAGAATGCAGTCACCTCTGCTGTGTGAATATTATCTCAAAGGAGTTAAAAACCTCTGCAGATGTTTAAAACTGGTCACTTTGTGAGCATATTTAGTCTTGGGGAGTATGTAAAATCTTAGCTTCCTATTGCTTGTCACTTATCACTGTGGTTTATATTTTTAAATGGTTCAAAATTAGCTTGTGCAACACTCAAATTCTACGTGGTACCTTCATGAGTTGTTGGTAACCCCTACATGCACAAAACTTCATGGGTTTTGAAATCATTTGTCTCAACCAGAATGTTTGATAGCTGAGGAAGTTCAGATACGGAGGAATTGGGGACAGCTTGATCCTCTCAGCTGTTCTGCAGATAAAGGAGGATTCCTTAGAAAATAGACTCTCATCAACTTAAGTTTATCAGGTGTGAGATACATGGAGATACACCCAACATGCTGACATCTTTCACATGCTGAGAAATGGAATTACAACTCTGTGTTTATTAGGAGAAGGTTAAAAATTCTCTGCCATAGTTAAGGCTTTCTTAAGAAATTTTAATTGTCTATTAATTTCAGAATGCACAAGGTCTTTTTAAGGTTGCTTTTTTTAAAATGCATTTCCTTTTCATATGCTAGACGTGTCCAGCCATAGCACAAATATCATCTTCACAATTACTTTCTTTTAATTTCTCTGTCATCTGACATCAAAGAAGTTTAGTCTTTTAAGTTTCTGATGCAGGAAACCCTATCTTAATGTTAGTTTTCAGCACTGCCTGAATGATTAAAATCTATATAGCTCTATGCCAGATAATTGCCCAACAGAGATATACAGAAAAAAGGCTGTTTATCACAGATTATCATACAAGTGGGATCTGGATATCCTAGGGGAAAGGTGCTTAAAAATACACACCATCTCTGTTTGAAAGTGTTCACGGGAACCCAGAAGGTACAGGTGTTTAAGAATGAGGGTGAGCCTTGGCCAAGAACCGTTGTGCAGCTGTGAGATAGAGAAAAACACAGACAAATTACTGCATTCTGATGCTGTTTTCTAGCATACACCAAAATTTTATTTTTTGAATAGAGGCTAAGTTATCACTCTATATTAACTTTATTTGCCACATTCGGGTATTTCTCTGCACCTATCAACGCACTTCGCTGTTTGAGAGCAAGGGGAAGTCAGTGTAGCCGCTAACATCAAGCTCAGAGGACCACAAGGATGTCATTTCACACAAACATCCTCGTACTGTTCACTCGACTCATGTTACTGAGAAGCTAGGAATTCCAAATTCCAAGAAGGAAAAGATAAAGGAAGGATTCTGGCTGTACTGCCATTATTCTACATAGAATTAGAACTCTGGGTTCCACGCTGTCATCTGTCAACAAAGTGACTGAATCTTCTAAGCAGAGAACGTAAGGCCTACTACCCGACTCTGGTTGTGAACTGGAAGCTGAGGTACAGTTGCTGTATGTATGCAAGACTTAAGACAGAGAAAGGAGGCAAATGAGTGGGGTCAAAGGTAACTGCTGGAGCTAATCCTAAATCCAGACTAGCCATCTGGGGAAAAGGGAAGGAGGCCAAGAAGAAGAAGAAAAGTGCCCGGTCCAGACCACTTAACTGATGCCAACAGCTAGCAAACTGGGCTATCAGGGCTAGAAGCCCTTTGGTGTCAGACCTGCAGCGGGCTGGTGGAGGGTCTGGATTCTCTCTCCTGTGTGGTTTGGGAAACAGAGGGGTCAACTCAGGGGCGGGCACAAAGGAAGCCCTCACTTGCTAGTGTTTCCGTAGAGCGTGCACAAGAAACAAACTGCATTTCAGCCTAACTGAATGCCATGCTTGTAAGCTCCAAAGGGTTTTTCACACTACTATGGGTAGAAATTCCAAATGCAATCAATGTCTGCTAACTTGAACGCGCTCAGGGTGACCTTTGGTTTTCAAGTTTTGAAAAAATGTATTTGGCTCCTATGAGATATTGATTACCTCATTCTCTTCAGCAGATGAGTAATATGTACACATTCCTTCAAGAACTACTACATACTCGAATCATTACAAGACAAGAAGCACAGCAAATGTCTTCCTTACACAGTACCTTTACTCGGCACACAGAATGTCAGATAGAACATTGGCAGTTTAAATACTGAACCACGGCTTAGCTTCTCAAATGTAAGGCTGAAGCTTCAACTGGCACATCCATTAACCCAGTTAGTGTGACGGAAACGACATAGAACCACAGTTGAGTGGGTAGTGGCTTATGTTTTTAATGAAGCTATAAAGCTTTTGAGATCCATACCATATTCATCCTTTTACTTAACTAAAAATCACAGCTGTGTTTACCATTTTAAACTATATCTAATTGGAGGCAAGTATTATACACTTTCACAGCTACTGAAAACGACACAAATGCCAATTCCTTCAACCCACTGTTACAAACACAGCAAAAAAGAAGGAAGGGAGGAAAAAAGCCCTCTTCATGAATATCAAACTTGGGAGCTCTGTGTGGAATTCTAGTGCTATTAAACAAGTAGCCAAGACACAAACACCCAGCTTGGGTCACTAAAACTTCAATAGAAGCAACAACTGAGGCTAATTCTTGATTTAATTTTGAGGACCCATGCAAGATTCAGCTATAAAACTCAAAACTAGTTCCTGATGCCTAGTTCTAGCATTGGACTCAAGCCAAAAGGAAAGCAAAATGTGTATTTTTAAGACCCTATTCTAGAATCTTTGCGTGTAACCGTTTTATTTTTCTTTAAGAGATTAAATGAAGTCACAGCTTAATCAACCTGCATTAAAAAAACAAGCAAATTAGTTGTCAGGACTGTAAATTGAAATGGCAAGTTTCCATCACACTGTTTTTCCTTTTTTTCCACCACATTTATATTACTTTGCTTCAAAGCTAAGTAGACACACAGCATGTCCAAGTAAATATGCTAATGCACTCAATTCAATATTCACTTAAGATGAAAAGGACAAGTGTGAGAACTGTCACGGATAATTTTTTTTTTTTTACAAGTGTCAATGTGCACTTGACAAATGTTGAGGGAAAAAAAGCAAAACAAAGCAGTGATTTCAAGAAGAAACAGTATGACTATTTCTCTCCTTTCATTTAAAAAACTGAAAGAGCTTTGGTTTCCATTTTTGTTCTCCTCATCTATTAAGTAGTTTGAGACAGTGGTTCAAAAATTTAGTGCAGGGACCTATGTAAACTATCTGAAGCACCTCACTCAAAATAAACCCCAAATTTGGAGCAAACAAAAGAGTTCTCCCATTTGTGCCTATCTAGTGACTAAACAGGATTTGAACCCCAGCTTTCTAAACTAGAGAAGTAATCAAGCAGTATTTTTGTTACTCTACTGGAGTATGGTTAGTCCACCGAATCTGGAAGTAAGGCAGCTGATTCTGGGGCGGCAGTTCCGGTGGTGCAGGCTAAGTGAAACAGTGTTATCTTGGACAAGTCCTCCTGGTCCTTTTCTGCTGCCGTATGATCGCGCCCCGGGCCCTTCACGCGTCTTAATGATGCTTCTGCATTCACAGGCCTCCCCGGCGGCCTCCCCTCTGGACGTCACCACAGCCTCTCACTGGCTGGGCTCTTCCTGGCCCTCCAGCACTGTCCCGAACGCCTTGGAGGCAGGCCTGTGTTGGGAAGTGCGAGTGGCTCTCATGGGCTTCGACTTGCTCTGAACCTGGGAGTTCCTAAATCAGGTGGACGCCGGGTGCCTTTCCCTTGTAAGACTGGCCAATCATAAAAGGAAACTGAAACGTGGCGTTTTTCCTTTCCATCTGAGTTTACGCTGATAAGAGGTACAGATAAAAATAAATCAGTGGGGGGAAAAAAGTGGACACTGAAAGCCTTGCTCAGCCAGAAGCTCAGGTTATGTCACTAGTGATTTTAGTCAGTGTGACTGTGCAAAATATCCTCGGGAAGGCTCGGGCTCATTTTCAAAGTAAGCAACAACAATGACAGCAACAAAAAGTGGATGAAAAATGCTCAGAAAAAACTAAAAAATGAACCTGTCATACGTGTATATTTATTATATACACGGGCCATATGTAGAAAAGCAAGTGTAGTGTGTGAATTGTGAACATTTGGGAAAGTATTGGTTATGTTGTCTTTTTTCCCATTTCCAAGTCTAGATCGAAGCAGTCCTGTCTTAGCGATGGATAACTGCAATGAAAATGAGCCTGAGATATATTAAAAGGCCGCCCCTGTAAACATTTCCTCAAAGGGAACAGTAGCAGTTGAGTATGTATCAGTTACTCATACTATATTCATCACTATCGCAATGCTTTATAAAAGACAAACAGCTTATTTCTAGGCTGTCAGGGATTTATAGAATATTGATTTTGTTGAAAACAATCCACTGTCATCCAGGCCCAGGCTGAAATCTGATCCGGCCTTTACCGATGGCCATTCACTAGGTCTTTTGCTCTGCGGCTGTTGCGGTCTGTGAAGGAGCTTCCGGCTTCATGATCTGGTATGTGATCAGATACTCTGGGTATGCCTGGAAAGGACAGGAAGAAAGCATTTAGCACCCTTTGAGCAGGTAAGATACTGAAGCCCAGCTTCATGTGGACGCTTCAGAGGCTGCTGGTCATAACCCACACTCTACATACACCTGAGTGCCTGCAAAGGCCAGCTAATTTACAGGTGCCTGGACAGTGAGGAGGTCCACTTTCATCTCTGTACATAAACCTGTGTAAACCCTGTAATCCCAGAATTGCTATCATGTTATTTCACCTCTGAATACTGTAAATTCATCACACTACATTTATGCCTCCCTAGAGAGTCATGTGCCATAAACCAGAAAACTAAGGCAAAGAAAAATCTTTCTCATGTCACCTTGTGGATTGCTATCACATAGCATTTTCAAGAAAAGTCTGTTCAATGACAGAATAATTCACTGAACTGATTTCAAGTTAATCATAGATTATGAGGTAACCCACTGAGTGAGGAGGGGGAAAGGCGAGGTTTGCAGGGTCACCAGTAACCTAGAGGCAACAGTTTGGAGGTAATTTTGACAAGTTGACTAGTGAAAGGCAACTTTGAAAGAGAATGGCTCTGAAGATGAGCCTCTACCCCGTCTTCTATGATCCTTTGTGTGATACATCCTTTTGCTTGTAGAAAAGTTGCTTAAGCAAAGGAATAAGTAACGCAAGCATTTGAATTTGGTAGTATGGTATTTTAGATTTCCAACACATGTAAAATTTAGGCAGATTCTAATGGTATGAATGATTTAATCATTCATACCATTCTGAGTGCTTCTGGTTCCTACTCATTAGGCTACTGAATTGCTTCTGTGTATAATGGCAACCCACTCCAGTGTTCTTGCTGGGAAAATCCCATGGACAGAGGGGCCTGGAGGGCTATAGTTCATGTCGTCGCAAAGAGTTGGACACAACTGAGTGACTGAGCACATAGTCTGAGACAGGAATTAATCATATCAAAGTCCAGAAGTAGGCTTTAAGTCAAGGGAATTAACTAAACTTCAGGACCAGAAATGCCCAGGATAGACCAACAAACATTATTTCCTGTCAAGTCTTACTCTAAACCCAAGCTGGTTCTAAGAGCATAGAGCATATTTTTTTAAGTACTTAGAAAAAAAGATTCAACAACCACTTTTAGTAGCCAAATTCTCTGATAGCTCAGTTGGTAAATAATCCCCCTACAATGCAGGAGACCCCAGTTTGATTCCTGGATCTAGAAGATCTGCTGGAGAAGAGATAGGCTACCCACTCCAGTATTCTTGGGCTTCCCTTGTGGCTCAGCTGGTAAAGAATCCGCCTGCAATGTGGGAGACACTGGGTTCAATCCCTGGGTTGGGAAGATCCCCTGGAGAAGGGAAAGGCTACCCACTCCAGTATTCTGGCCTGGAGAATTCCATGGACTTTATAGTTCATGGGGTCGCAAAGAGTTGGACGCGACTGAGTGACTTTCACTTTCAGGAAATTCTTAACTCAGATCCTCAATGCTACAATTTAAACTCAAGTGCTTTTAGTTTATTCTCCACTGAGATGAAGAAGCATCATGCTTCCTTGAATGATTCTGTATGTTTGAAACTCATTCTACAAATCGTTCTGTTCCGTTCTCCAGGTTAAGTTGCTCTGCATTGTTCCTATCACTTCAGTAAAACAGGCCACATCTCTGTAGCTGCCAATGACCAGAGAATACTTCCTCTATGTCTAATTAATGTGAAGCTTAAAGTACAAAATACAAAAATATTCCTGATATTTTAAGTCCAGTCATATACTAAAATCAGAACTATTTTTCTTTCAAGTACAGTGCAGTTAATTTTAAATATATCTTTTCAATTCTAAAGAAACAATCCCACCAATAATAAATAATGCTCTTCAGATCAGCCCTCTGAATAAAACATTTACGTGGTCTTAAAAATGTTGATAATAAAGGTGAAATATGATATAAGGTATAACTAAGGGGAATGAAAGAAAAGCTGGCAAAGGAAAACTACCATAAGTCAGGAGAAACTGCTCATGGGCAACGACTCAACTAGTAGACACTAATTAACACTGTCCATGTGTTATCTGCATATGGAAGCACAGGTGTGCTCCCCTGAAACAAAAGAACTTACATTTTCAAGGTATTTTTTTTTCTTTCAAATATGATGTGGACCACATCATTCTTTAAATTCTTCTAGCAAGAGAATTTCAACAAGTTTTCAAGTCAAAGTACTTGGGAAATGGTTAAAAGATCAGCAAATACTAGAGGTGTAAACCTATTATTTGTATCTCTTATTTCTTTCCACCCAAATGTGAATGAAGTTCTATTTCCCGTAGCTAACTTACAAGATCTGGAAAAGTGTTCGGTAGAGAAAACTGTAATCATCTATAATCTCAATACCCAGATAATTGTTCTTATGTTTTCGTTGATTCTGTGTTTAGCAAATATCATGTAGACGTATTTTTAAATCACAGGCACACAAATATACTAACATTCATTTAATCATTCCCTTTTTGCTAAATATTTAGTTTGTTTAAAATTTTATTTGTTTAAAATTTTAGTTTGCTAAAATTTTCTAGGCGCTTTTTTGGGATGTGACCGTCACTGATTTTATCTGAAACAAATTTCTGAAGGTAGAATTACTGAGTCAAAGTGAAAATATTTTTTCTAGAAGCTGGGCATTTCTGATTTAAAAAGAAAAATCTGACAAAAGTATTCTTTGGTAGTTTAAAAGCTCTTTATTTGTAAACAACTGCAAACTGGCACATTAAGTTGCAAAAATTAAACTAGTACCTAATATACCTGTATACCCTAAGTTCTAAGTTCAGTCTCTCAGTCGTGTCTGACCCTTTACCTACATCCAAATATTGTTAAGTTTTATTTATCCTATTTGCTTTATCATGTGGACTTTCCCCCTACTTCTCTATATACTAGACAGACACACAGAGAGATTCAGATATGCTTCTCCCTGAGTCATTTCAGAGTAAGTAATATACCTCATTATGGTTCTTTATCCCTAAATATGCCAGTACTTATTTCCTAATAATAGGGATATTCTCATATATAAATTTTATACTGACATAATGTTTTTTAACCTACCATTTATATTTCAATTTTATCTGTGGATCTAATAACGTCCTTTTTCTTCTAGTACCAGATCTACTTTGGGGGGAGAATCTGCAGTTAGCTGTCCTGTCTCTGGGTTTCATTTAGCCTGAAAGCTTCCTTCCTCCCTCTCTTCCTTCCTTTCTTTCTTTGTTATCAGTATGGAATCATAAATTCCTATTCTTTCCAATGGTGTAAAATTTATTACTATACTTATTTTGATGTTCAAATTATCTCAGATTTGGCCAGTGGGAGCCACTCTGAGCTGATTTTGTTTCCCTGTGACATGCTCCCATCACTTTTTTGAGGACTTCATTACTTTCTGGTGTAACAAGTTCCTAATCTGCTCCAGCCCTGGAATTAGCTGTTTCTTCAAAGATCCTTCTATGGGGCATGGTATTACAGGCCAAAATTTGGGCTTGAGGAGTCCTCATTGCTACTGGGTTTTTTTTTTTGGCTTTCAGCAGACAGTGCTAAGAAATACATGCACATATGTACTCACATATATATATGCCTACACATATCTCTTGTTCATAAACCTATACATACATATACTTACATGTGTACAAACATATACGTATTTACTAGAAGCCATTCGTTCCTATCAATACCTCAATTTCTGCCCTTCCCTAGAGTCATTGTTACCTTCCCTCATTCCATATTTACGTCTCTTCTTCCACTGTGAGAACCCAGTTCCCAAAATCAACACATCAACATATTTACTCATTTGCTTAATCCCAGAATACACCTGAAAGAGTTTCAAATCTTTGCCCACAATCAACAGATCTAAATGAAATCCAGGATTTGTTTGCAATTCTTCGCCCTATTCCACACCTAACCTGGCCCAAGACTGTTGGCATATAATAAAACATTGTTTTCGTGTATACAGTTAATCTGCTTTTTCTCCTTTTCAATCCATTTGAAATTCAACTAAATTCATATTTACATTATTACATTTAAATGGTTTTCTTTAATTCTTATGTGGTCTTCGCATTTTGAATCAACTGTTTACAGTAGCCTGGTCTCGCTTATTTCACGAGCACCATACCTGCTCTCCTCTGTAGATGACGTATTCGGCATAGGCCAGCCCATTCACACTTGGCCTCCCAATGACAGAGTGATGGCCTGGGGGGGCGTGGGCCATTTTCATGGTGCTGAACTGCAGAAAGGACTTGCCAAGGGTCACTCTACAGAAAAGCATTTGCCTGAAGAAAAAAGCAAAGCAATACTTTGAAGGAAGCTTTAAATCTTAGAATGGTATAACTGGTAGGTTTATTGATTTTTTAAAAAGACAGTTAACATAAGGCAAGCTAATTTAAATGTCACTTTTAATTTTATGAGTAGGAATAGGATGAGATTTAAAATACTGATTTACTATAAGCAGTTAGCAGGTTCAATAGTTACACTTTAAGTTTAAAGTGGTTTTGGTATGGTTTAGAAATCAATCACAGATAACACCTGGAAAGTTTTGACTAGTGGAAAAAGACAAATACTGGTGAAACTGCATTCTGGAAGAATGAGTGTGGACGGATAGGAGGAAAGTGAAGAAAATAAGCATATGGCAGCAGCGTCTGAAATTAAAGTTAGGTTTACTCATTATGAAGACGTAAAGTCTGAGATGAGATAAAGAATAATAATAAAAGTGGATTATATATAAAAATACTTAGCTTCAATATATGGCCAGAAAGTTCACTACCTGAGTGAAACATGAATTGAAGCAGTTGTTAAATATTATGGAGGGAAAGAAAGATTGATTGGGAAGACAGTGTATTAAATAAACTAGGCACTGGCAAACTATGGGCCAAATCTAGGCTGCCACCGGTTTTTGTAAATAAAACTTTATTGGAACACAGATTCATTACAGGCTGTCTGTAGCCGCTTCTGTACCAGCACAGAGCTGAGTCATTGTGACAAGGATCCTACAGCCTGCAAAGCCTAAAATATTTACCACTGTGGCCCTGTGAAATAAAAGTCTGCAAACCCTTAATAAATACTTGAACATATTAATAGACATCTTAACTAAGCTATAAGATTTGGTCCTACTGTTAACTGTAAATAGTTGTTATTCAATCAAGTAGTTTTTAAGTAAAGTAATGAAGTATGATCTGTGCATTATGACTAAACAAGTATTACTTTGAATCAAAACTGTGCTAGACCCAGTTTAATTGAATCCTGCCTGGGCTGGCTTTTTTAGTGTGATGCTACTGGTGATGTTGGCTTGGCAGCAACTGTATCCTCTTGTAGGCCCCAGAGGAAAAGGTTTGGACTCGCATTAGAAGGAAGCTTTTTGACTGTGGTGGCACTACAGTGTCATAGGCCTCTGCCCGCTCAGCCTGCTGGGCCCACTGCCACGGCGATACCCAGTGTCCATATGTCACACGAAGTGTGACCTGACAGCCCTTGCTTCCTGCCTTCTGCCCCAGGGCATCCTTGTTGCTATGGAGACAGGAGAAGATGCAGGCCCTGCCTAGCTGGCTCATGTCTATTCACCAGCTTGCCTTGTGCCTGTGTGTGGCCTGCAGATGCAGTGGCCCAGTGTGGGATACCAATACCCTGTGGGGCAAACGCCGACCAGGAGCAAATGAAAGATTCTACTTGTTTAGAGAAGTTATGTGCTCTAGTTCAAATGTGATTAGCGCTAGAGGCTCCTTGTTCTCCAGAAATAATTCTCAATCTTGTCCTGAATCTGAAATAAGGAGAGTGGAGCCCGGGGAGGAAGTCAAGACAGAGGGAGCTTCGCTGAAACCTATGCCTGGCTTTCCCCAGACAAACATTTGGCTTTTACCACAACCGCTGTTGACTCTGCCGTCGTGGCTCTGATTAGAGCAGGGGCTGACCAGCTGTTCCTATCTAACCCCCAGGATGGTCTGATTTGTTAGGAGTAAGAGTGAGAATGACCTGTGACTTCTGCAGAGCCTGAGAAACTAATATGGTCCATGACCTGAGGATAGCAACCCTTACACAGAAGGAATGATGCTCACCTGTGACATATATAACATGACCGGTCTTTGTGTGTGGGACAGCCTGTTCCTCCTCCTATTCCATAAACATACTGGTTGCTTTTAGAAGAGTTTTCAGCAAAATAAATCCCAGCACCAAACATTCCTCCTATATATGCATGTCGCTCATCAAACCCTTTATGAATAATGGCATTAATGAAAGGAGAACCTAAAAATATAAAGACAGATCAGTTTTGAGCACTTTCCAGAATCTCCATTAGCTGCATACTATTTGCACTTGGCAGAGTAACACTAATAATGCTTACATGAAAAGTTTACTCTGTAGGATGGTCTACAATACAGAAATTACTATCATGTACTAGAATTTTACCAGGGACTCATAGCTGTTGTCCAGCGAGGAACTTATATGGATTTTGCAGATGACATGGGATTTTAGATAGCAAAGTACAACATAACTTTGAAAATACAGATTATTTTACACCCAGCATTGCTTTAAGCAAAAACAGATAATTCAATAAACTAAAACAATTATGCTGAAACTACAACAAAAATAGCGTTCCACCATCTAGATGGCTCAGCATGCAATGTAAATTCTGAGACAATTTCAGATAAATTATTTTCATTGTAAATGCCTTGGAAAGCCCAGACATGTAATGCTTTAGAAAGCCGGTACGAACATGTAATGAAAAAAGATAAATAAAAACAAACCATTTTTAACACAATACGAATACAGTCAATACCCCAGGATTTTCACCTTCCTGGAGTTTGCAAACACTCAGAGCTAATGACCAGTGGGTGCTCACCGTGAAACAACATGCGTTCATTGTGGTGGTTGTGATTCTCCTCAGACACTTCCTTCTGTCTGTGACAGAACCGTTCTCTCAACTTCTTGTTCACAACTTTTTGAATCTTTAAAGATGAGGAAGAAAGAAACAAATCAGTGAAATGCATGTTAACTGGCAGTCTATAATTTAAAATAAAAAGTATGTTTTTCTTTAGGGAGGTTCAATTTTTGTTTTGTTTGCTTAAAGCATTATTTAAAAACGATATAGTTGCCAGGTCACTATAGTTCAGTTAATACTCTGTTTTTAGTGACAATTCTCAGCTACACTTTTTGTTCGTTATCTACACCTGACCTGGCTATACCTCAGAATCACCTGAGGACTTCAGGTTGTAGGGGCCTGTAAATCTGCACTTTCAGAAAGCTCCCCAGGTAATTCTGATATGCACTGGTGTAATGTCAATAGGTCTATTAACCCAAAGGGTTAAACCATTTATCAACAGATTTTATTCATCTTCATGACACCCCTTTGAAAAAAGCATGTGGCAGTCATTTATTTCATGTTATGAACTAAAATATTGAGATTAAGAGATATATGCATTCTGATATAATCACTGACAAAATCAGATTAAAAATCGAGGCCTTTAATACTACTTTGAAATAGTGAAAACAGAAATTACATTCCAAATTTGTGCTGGGAGTCTTATCACCATACTTGTCTCACGAATGCCAGCTGATCTAGCTTATATCTGAGAGTCAGGCAAGCTGTGCTATCCAATTTTCACCCTGAAATGCTCAAAACTTACTCGAATGACATTGTATCTGTTGAAGATGCCACCAGCATTACCACCATCTCGGTGTTCTCGAATTGTACTTTGCATCTATAGAACAAAACAAAGTAACTTTCTGAAAACAGGCCAGTGTGGAATTCTGAAGACATTCCCCCTGTTGTTTTCAACATTTTAATTCTATTGTATTGTTTCGCTAATGAGTCTAAGACTCAGCACTGTAAGTAATCAGGAGTTCACTATAAATGAGTCAACAAGTTTACTGAATCAGTATTTCTGGTGAGAAAATAGACATAAATATCAAACTTTTGCACTTTGTTTATTTTTAAATAAAAGCTTTGAAAGTTTTTTCTGCAAACACCATGGGGTAAAATACCACAGTAAGTCATCCACATTACTATTTTATGTTATTGAGGAGAAACAACATTGTGATTAAGTCAAACTAAAACTCTTAACGTTGAACTAATACCCCATTGCACTAGTGCTAAAAGTAAACACAAAGAATTTATAAAAATTCGTAAATCTTTGTCCCTTAGGTGAAAAAGTCCATGTCGTCTCTTTGCTCTGGGATCTCAAATTATATCTGCACAGACGGGGGAAGCTGGGTATAACGTGTAAGTAAGAAAGTGGAATAACTCTTCTGAACACTACTTACCCTTCTCCTACTCTCCAAATTAAGGATTATGATAGTTTGAAAATTAAGATGTTTTAAATACCTAAGTTTCTCAGAGAACTGACTCAGAGTTGATTCTCTATCTCACCACTCCCTCGGTGAAGTGAGTCACTACATTTTTGACCTTATAATCAGAATTTACTTACTACAAGGAGAATGATTACCCAGTAAGACAGGAGAAAACAGGATGCTTTCCTGATAAACTAAGTACGAGGTGAAATGCTACCCTGGGGTAAGGGTCCTGAGACCCTGGGATGGGAATAATATCAGCAATAATTAAGATGTAGAAAACAAAATAAATGTAGGCATGCCTTTCTCTGCAAAAGGTGGAATTAGTTAGGAAGCTTATTTATTATGATAATGCCATTAGGCACTTTATGATGCATAAGCTAAGTGAGGCATAGGGCATCTCTGTGGCATCACGTCTACCAGGAGGCTCATACAAAGTCTTACTCTGGTGCTTTAAAATAATTGACTGTAGAAATGAAAGCTGACTGGAGTTATGAGGCAGGTTTCCTAAGCACACATATTATTTTATAACCACATTTTAGAACTTTCATGAAAATAAAGATTAGACGATGTTTATTATTTATGACACAAGATTCTCACTCCGTATTATTTTTAGGTAGCATTTTAACAGTATGAAAAAATAGTTCTGTAGGGTCTTTACTTCTACGAGTTTCAGGAAAGTTTCCAGAGTAAAAAGGTACATGTGGCCCACCCACTGGAAACCCTAGGGGTTCTGATGTGAAAGCAACATAGTGTAGTCCTGTGTTAATGTTGGCAACATGCCACCACAATGGCTAAGGGAGACACAATAATAAACAGGCAACAGACCATCAGTCAATATAAGGCAAGTTTACCTATTTTGGAAAAAGAGGTGTGAGCAGGGATTTCAGGAAAAGATAATGAAAAATTTTGATGTACATTACCTCCTCTTCTACTGACTGATATTCTTTATCTTCTGGAGCAAGATCCAGCAAAATAGTTCCCTGATTAACACAGTGAAAAGTCAAATAAGGATTGGTGCCTGCAGGGAAGAAAAATTAACATATTAAACAAAGGTCTACACTATCCAGGCTTTATTTCATGGAAAACTCTCATAAATAATTGACATTCTGGAACAAATCTAAGCTATTTGCAACTTGAACCCAATATATAAGGTAATATTAAACAAATACATACAAAGACAAGAAAAACATAATGGAGATGTGTTTGCAGTTCAATATGTTCTGTTCTTACAGTTCCCTATACCTGCAACAGACTCAACAATTATTTGTTGAACTCAATCATGAACATACATGATTCTGATCCAAAAGAGAACACACTGTAATTAAATGCAGTCAGGTCTAAACTGTAAGAATTATCCTCTAAAAGAATTATCATCTGTGAGAGCTTGAAATGGTCACTTATATAATAAGTTTAAAATACATTATTCTTGTTAATTTCATTATTCTTGTTGAGTTACTATAGCTAAATAAGCAAGACTCAAGATCAATATCTGCTAATATTTACTTTCATGTCACTCTTACAATTTTACTGTCTCTGCAGACTAATTCAAGTTGTTTCTTTTCTCTCTCTTTGCTTTTCTATAGTGAAAGCACTGCTAACAGAGAAATGATAAACATGGAAGCATACCAAAAAAGAAAAGGAAAGGCGTGTAACAGCAAAGTGCAACAGAAAAAGACTGCACTGAGAGTTGTGAAGGAGGGAAAAGGACACAAGGTGAGACAGAAAGGTCAGCTTCTGAACAGTCATGTTAGGAACATTTGATTTTATCCTAAAACCAACAGTACTCTATTGAAGGATTTCAAGCACCGGAATGATACGATCATACAGTCACTCTGAAGAGTCTTCTGGTTATCATCTAAGGAAGGTTTGGGGAGCCGGGTGGGGGGGAGGCCGCAAAGGTGACTGTTGGAGATAAGCTGGAAGGTGATTGTGTCAGTCCAGGAGAGAGACGACAGTGGCGTGGATTGGGTGGCAGCAGTGGGAAAGGACTGAAGTGCAGATTCCAGGGAAATTTAGGATGCAGTGTTATGGGGGAGAGGAAAGAGTGGCTCTAATTTTTAGCCTAAATGACTAGAGGGAGAGTGAGACCAATGATTGAGACGGACAGGCAGGAGACGCCAAGCTGAGTGCATGAGCTCTGGGGTCGGGCCACCTGATAATGCCAGGCAGGACACTACTCGGGGCTTCCCTGGTGGCTCAGCTGGTAAAGAATCTGCCTGCAATGCAGGAGACCTGGGTTCGATCCCCATGTTGGGAAGATACCCTGGAGAAGGGAACAGCTACCCACTCCAGTATTCTGGCCGGGAGAATTCCATCGACTGCATAGTCCATGGGGTTGCAAAGAGTTGGACATGAAATGAACGACTTTCACTTCACAGGACACTTTATCACTAATTTCTGAAACCTCTTTATTTTTAATAGCTTACCTTGTTGTCCACCTAAGAGTCTTTCCACTCCCTTGATTAATTTATGGCGGTGTCCGTATGCATTGATGCCTATTTCTTTCAACTCTTCATGACCCATATCAGCCAACACATCTAGCGTAATCTGAAAAATGAAACAAAATTAATTGCTAAATCTTTAACAGTTCTTCAGATGATGAGAACTCTTCCATTTGTCTTCAATGCTCCAGTATCCAAATTAAGAAAATTCTTGTCTCCTTTATCAGCATGAACTTAAATCTTCTTAAAGTTGCCTTCATAAACTTACCAGCTTTTTGCTCACTTGAAATACTCCTTGATTTGTTTTCAGTCGATGGAGACGGTAAATGGGAGAAACAATGCTACGGAAATATGAAATGATCATTGCCACTTTTCCTTTTGATTATTTCATTCCACCACATTTTCCTTGCCTCAAGATATGAGAGGAGACAGCCAGCAGCTTGAAAATGGGGAAATACCAGATCTCAATACCCAGAAGGTGGCAAAGACGAATGGCAGGGGAAAGAGGGGCTCAGCACAATGAAACAGACGAAGCTTTAGGGAAGTGGGATTTAAATAAAGATAAGAAAGAACTTCCCAGTGCTAAGAAGTATTCAAGCATGGAAGAGGCTGCCTGAGAAAGGAGCAAGATTTATATCACAAATATTTAGTTAGATTACAAACCATCTTATATAGAAACTATATAAAGAATTCCATTTTGGAGAAGAGAGTAGGTAGAATTTGTAAGAGCTTAAAAGCCATCTAACAATCCCTGAAGTCTAACATACATTTTATTTTATTCAAAACAGTGGTTTAAAAGTTTTGGTCTTTTTTTTTTTTTTAAGTTTTGGTGATTTAATCCCTGTAAATGGAGGTGGTTTGCTTCCACAATGCAAGATCTAAGATTTCTATTCCGTTCTTTGTTTACTAAAAGTAACTGCGACTCTACTGCCACCCAGTGGTGGTGCTCTGAATGCACAGGGTGAAATCTCCAGCAGTTGCATCTCCTGGATTTTCAGCTCAGAAGAAGCTGGTCCTGTGACAATCCAGATACTACTTCACAAGATCAGCTTCTGATTTTCTTTTTCCTTGGGAAACCGAGAAATCCTTTGATAAACACTCTTTTTCAACTCAAGAAATTTTTATTCATGGCTTTCTCTACCTTTATACTTGTACGTAACATTTTAAAAAACTAACAAATTAGGTCTGGAACTCTGATGATTTTTACTGTGAGAATAAAATATTACATAATGAGTCTGATCCTCTCAGAGCAAAAAGCATACATCATTCACTCTCTGGAAATAATTTGCTATATTTCTCCTAAGTGGCCATTTAAGAAATAATCTCTCCATTGCACAAAATGGGCAATTCACTTCCAATCACCCAAAGGAAGTTTTTGGCAAAGCTTCTAAAAAAACCACAGTTCTGAAATGTACATCTTTGAGACAGCAGAGTTTGCAACATAATAGGAGTGTTTACATTTTAAGATAGATGTGATTTTAATATAATTTGGAAACATTATTGATATTTCCACTTTTTTCTTCTAAACTTCAGATCATGTTGACATAAAAACAGGATCTTATATCTATGTGGCAGCTTCAATTTAGAGTCTTTTAGCCTTTCTGAATTGATATGTATAGTGTATGTCTGAAAGAAGCAGAAACCAGGCCAACAAAACATAGTATTAGGTTTCAGAGAAGAAATGGAGAATGTTTGATACATTTGTTCATTATGTGATTCCAATTGTGAAATGAGTACCTCATTTCATCCTCATAATGACCCATGATATACTATTACTGTCCTTATGAAGAAATTCAGGCTCAGTGAAATCATAAAAATAGTATACAGAAGAGCTGAAATGTATTGCTATATTTGTCTTTCCCTTTGCTTATTTGTCTTAAAAGGGATGACTAGAGTGTTAAAATAATTAAACATTAAATTCAACTGTTTTGAGTTACATGGTACTCAATTTGTCCTTATATTTATTGGAACTGGGGACTGGAAAACCTTAAATAACTAGCTGTTGAATTTACATTTATGTTCACTTGTTCATTCGTTCATACATAATGTATTTAATGAGTACCTTCTATATGCCAGGTATTTCCCAAAAAGTGACTAATTAAACATTTAATTTTAAAATGACCCATTACAGCTCAGAAAGGTAAACAGCTGGCTCCAGTTGGTAGTAAAACAGTGGGGCTAAGGAACAAACAGAACACTAACACTACAGGTCATGACAGTTCCTCTACCAAGGAGATAAAAAGTGAACACAAATATTTGGTAAAGGTTGGTGTGTTTTGGAGGAGTCCCATGGGACCACTCAGGAAGGTTTCTGTGTTGCGGTTATAAGTAGGACTGGGAACTAAGATAGGAACAGGAAGGGGGTCAGGAAAGGTTCTTAAAAGAAGGTAATAATTCAGCTGAGGAGGAAGACTTAGAGGAAGAAGGGAAGGGTGTTTACAACAAAGGGACACCATGTACAAAAGGAAAACCAAGTGAATATAAAACATTTGAGAGACTCTGGTATTAATAATAAGGTTCAAAATGGTTAGTGTATAATGTATACACAGGAACAAAAAAAGTGATGGACAGAGCAGCAGGCTAAGAGCAGGTCTTTATGGGTTTTACACTATCAAGTGAAGATAGTGTCCAAAATGTCCAAGGACACCTTTTCAGCAGAGCAATACAAAACTGTATTTCAGGAGGACAGTGGTACGAGAGGCAGATCTGGAAGGGAAAGTGACTGTGAACAAGATGACGACGATGGGGTGGAGGAGACTGGAAGGGGTGAACTGGAGAGAAACTTCAAAGGGAGAGATGCCGGGGCATGATCACAGAAATGCTGGAGGAGAAGCAAGGCATGGGAGTAAAGACTATTCCAAATTCTGATGATGAGTGAAGATGGTACTACTGTATTAATAATAAAAGAACTGGAAATATCTGGAAGTTGAATTTTAGACATGTTTCTCCAAGATTCAAAGCTTTTATACTGCTAGAAATATTTTTCTGAAAATTATCTTTAACTCACTTTTTAAAAAAAACTTAGTTACATCTAGGAAATTACAAGTTTGTTGGGCCAGTTATTTATACTCAGCATACATTAAAACCAAATTATAACCTTTCACATAAAGATCACCCATGTATCAGTTAAATCATCTTGCATATAAAGCAAATTTCACTTCGAGAGTATTACTTTAAGAAGGGCTGCCTCTTGTTTCTAAGATTTATTTATTTTCTTTGGGGTGGAGGGAGAAACACTGGGGTTTTAATGAACGAAAAAGGGCTTTCTTTTACATTGCGAGGTTGCAGGCTACAGTAACAGATATTAGAATTAACTTTGCAATCATGTTCATAATGAATTTACTGAGTCCATGCCTTTGTCTTTAGCTTCTGAAATAAAAATTGCTAAGGTCACTTTTCATATGTATACGTGGACCACAAGTATGTTCACAAGTCGCAGCATTTATATTCCAAGAATTGCAATGTAAATCAAGCAGCCCTTCCCACAGAAAAAGTATCATAGTCAAGAAGCCAGGTTACAGAGGAAGGGCCCGAGTGACACAGGTATGACACTTAACTACAAAGGACACAGGTATGTATTACTTAATACAGAACTTGGCAAAACATACATGACAAACAAGCAGCTAAGAGACTTCTGAAAGAACAACTGTGAAGGTGAGAGGTGGGGTGATGATGCTCTGAAGGAGGAGAAATAAATGATCTTTCTTCCCCACTCCACTGGGAGAGAAATATCTATCAGAAAGAATAGAAGTAATAATCTATTATGTGTCAAAGCATCTCAGTGATAGACAAGAACTAAATGGGCACAACACACACACACCCTGCCACTTCCCCTCACTCATGAACACCTTGCCCTCGTCACGTTCTCCTGGACTGATGCAGAATGCTAATGGCAGAAAGTCCTCTGGATAAGTTATGGAAAGGGTTACAGAACTTATTACTCTAGAACTAAAGGCTAGTCAAGAAACAATTGCAGTCAAATAAAACTTTTGATTGCTTGAACACTGGGCAAGAAGACAGCCACACACAATTCTATACAGAGAATGGTATTATTATTTGTCTGCAGGGAAGGAATTAGGCTAGGTAATACACGTTAAATGGAAGCGTCAACATATTGATTAAAAAAGAGGATACAGAAATTACTCTGGCAAAAGGAAAATCAATGGAACCATTTACTCAGAACAAAAGTGCAATGAAAAAGATAACAATGAAACCGATGAAACTACGGTAAGTTGTCAAAAGGACCAACTGTAAGATTAAACTATTAAAAACAAGAAAATGAGATAAGTATGCCACAGGGTACCATTACTATAAAAGAGAATATATAAAGTAAAAAAAATTATGATGCAAACTGACTAAACAGTAGAGGCTGAACTGTTTTGAAAAATGGCTAACTGGAATGATTTCCTTGAACGTGGGTCTTTGTTTTTATTAAGCAAAGCTATGTGAAATTTCACAGTTATTGTGGATATGACGTGGGAAGAAGGGAAATGGTCAGAATATGGCTGTAGCAGAGGATACTGCTTTTAAAACAGCTTTAATACCTTCAGAGAAAGGATACAGGAAGAAGAGTCTTACAGTGTAGGATATTCCCATAAGAAATCTCCAAGCCAGAGGTGAATCAATGGCAGGTGAACCTTAAAGGCAAAGGTAATTACTATAGCATTTATAAAACCCTCACCACCAGACAGAAAATACAACCATTGTTTCATTAAAGCATAGTTAAAAAACTGGCACAGCAGTACAAGGCTGGGAATTTTAATTATCTGGACTTTTGAAAGTATTATTATATTTTACAGGCAAGGCAAGTGATAGGTTAAATGCCTTAATCAGAATCAAGGTCTTTTTTTAGTGCTACTTCTACCCACTGTTTTGATCATTAAGAGCATTAAAGATCAACTACAATATATAGTATGAAGAAATTAGCTAAAATGCAACGCATTAGAAAAATCTTGACATAAAAAGTCTTTCATCATTGATATGAAAAAGACCTGGACTTTAACTCTAAACAAACTATATGCCTACAAAGACATCAGAATGGGTCAGAGAGCAGTAAAGAATTTGGACACTATATCCACAAAAAGAATAACTAAAAAAGAAGATGAATTTATTATGCTAAATTAGGAGAAACTTTGGAGGAGTGGGTAGTTGATTAGAAGGATAAATCCATGATAAGTTGAGTAGGTCTTAGAAATGTAAGAAGGGCTAGCTGAATGTAAGTAGCAAGCTGAATGGTGACCCTCAAAAAGATATGTCCAAGTTCTAAGCCCCAGACCTTGAGAAGAACCTTACTTGGAAAATTTTTTTTTTATATCTCTGCAGATGTAAATTCAGTCAAGGATCTTGAGATAAGGAGATCATCTCCAACTAGATGGGGAGGGCTTAAATTCAGTGCAAGCATCCTTACAAAAGACACAAAGAGACAAGAGACACAGAGAAGGCAGGGTGAAGATGGAAACAAAAATGGAAAGAATGTGGCCAGAAGGTGAAGGGGCCTAGCAGCTAATGGAGGCATGCAGCAGATTCTCCCCTAGACCCTCTGTAGGGACTGAGGCCCTGCTGACACCCTGATTTTGAACTTCAGGCCTCCAGAACTGTGAAGGAATACAGTTCTGTTGTTTAAGCCAGAGGTCTGTGGAAATATGGCAAGGTGGCTGTATGAAATGCTAGTCTAATGCTAACGCTCGTCTAATATTCAGAAAGGGGTGAGATTTCTGTGCAAAACAGGGTAAAGATAAACAGAATATTAACAGATTAAACATGGAGCAGATGTGGGTGTATTTTAGATTAGAAGCATTTTATCATACCTGTCCAAATTGTAACAAGATATTGTTCCACATGGATATAAAAAGGGTTAATTCCTGTATCTGGGAGAAAGACTTACTGATCTCTAAAAAATGTTTCCCATTCTAAGATTCTATGTATATTGATAATACCCAGGTCAAACTCAGGAATTTATTACTTGATACTTAATGGTAATAAAATCACATAGTGATAAGTTAAAAACTCATTATTCTATATAAAAACAGACTGACAAACAGAAGGATCTTAATTCATAATCACCTAATGATGACTTCATACTAACATTTTTATAGGCATTTCAGATCTATCTGAAAATAGGCTAGTCTTTAAGCATATGGCCAAGTTCTGGTTCAACATATTTTAGTCTCTAGCTAGATAGTGGAAACTTCATAAAGGAGCAATTTTTAAAGGTACACTTGCCTAGGAATTATTTTGCTTTCTAGTTTAATGGACAACTACTTCCTGACGATTTTGCTAATCAGTTACCATAAAAATTTCTTACTAGTTTTAAGTGAATCTAGTCACACCAGTAATAAAATGAGGTGAATAAAGGCTAATAAACTTTTTGGGAACAAGACGAGGGAAGATTTTGAAAACATTCTTTTGAGGTGGTTTCATGGCCTACATTTTGACATGTAATAAAACATATTGAGCCAGACTGCTTATAAAGATACAACAACATAACGTTACAGACTCTGACCATCTGTTGGACAATTTTGGAAAGAAGCATAAATAGTAGATTCCTCTAGCTTCTTTGGAAATCCGTTTTGAGTTTTAAAAGAGTGGTTAAGAAGCAAAAGAGAAAGAATAACTGGCAATTAATAACTCCTAGTATTTAACTGAAAAGACTGGACATTATATGAGAGCTTACCTGTTCTGTTTCAAAGATGTCCCGAAGGTGTTCAAGACCAAGGCTTTTTAGGAACTGGCTAATATTCATGTCAAGACCCGCAACTAAAACAGACACATGTTAAAGTTTTTAAGAAAGAAGTATATCAATCTAAAGGAAGTTTCAGTATTTATTTAAAGCCATGGCTCTCTGACACACCCTTGGTTATGTAGCTGCTTTCACATAGCATAAAATGATCCAAATTACATAAAGTTAATTCAGACACTTCAAGTTAGCTCTGAATTTTATGGGGAAGTAAAAGCAGAGTTTATCTTACCAATAGTATTTATATTAATATTTTAAAGCATAATATAATGATTTTAGTGGAATATTTAACAGTGGAATTAAAAAATCTAAATTTTTTAGCTATTGTTTCAGTTTTCATTTCTAATGTAATCTCTTCATTTTTCTGATATAATTTCAGTAACAAGACTCACTCAGTAGTTCAGTAAGACACTATAGTTGGAATAGGATGTATTGGGATATACATAAGTAATAACAATGTAGATGTCAATCAAGGAATTTATTCTATGAATGCATTTTTTTTTTAAAGAAAACATCTTATTTTATATAATTGCTAAGATTTCCCCTCTTGGGGAAGCTGGAGGAAGGCATAAGCCCTGGCCCTTAGTTCTCCAAATATATTATTCATGGCAGGGAAACTCACGGCAGACAGGCAGGAGGGCCATACAAAGGAAGGAATACACTTGTTTAGACTTTCCTGCCGTGAGTTGAGCACAGGAGAAATCAAATGAGGACACTTTTCAGTAGAGTCAACAACTGATGAAATAAAGTGTGTGTTGCAAAGTTTCAGGTACCCGGACAGCAGAGCGTGGGGGAAGGAGGGTAAGATCCGTGAGGGCAGGGGCCGTAGCTGTCTGGTTCTGGTGCCTCGAACAGTGGGAGTTTATGAAGACATGTTTCTTATGAACTGTTGTGTACGTGAAAACTCATACACAGGATATCTTTAAGTGAGGTGTTCAATAACTACCAATAGAAAAAAGGGAATCTGTTTATTTAGAACACCAAAACCAAACGGGCATTCAGTGGTGTACTTGCCTTCTCCTTCCTTCCTTTCTGCGCCCGCCGCGCCATCCCCGGTGTTGGACGCTCCTCCTACTGCCAGTTCTGCTAAGGGGCCGGTGAGGTTGTCTATGCTGCTAGCGGCAGACAGGCAGGAGGGGGTGGATGCTGGTGAGATCAGAGAGGCACTCACGACAGTAGCCTGAGGTTTGAAACAGGTAGGTAAGGCCTCTGGGGGCATGGCATCTATCAGCAAAGCTCTGATGTCATCCGCCTAAAAAACAAATAGATAAAACACACACACAAAATATTACATCTTAAAATAAGTTTCTCACTAAGGACCAAATGTGGAGTGAATCTTTTTCTTTCATGGATGCTCTATTATTCCCTATTAGTTTTTGACAATTCCTTCTTCTTTCCTTCTCTGATCGACAGCTCCAAAGAGTCCCAGTAGTTTCAGTAGGTAGAACTGTAGAAACTATTCGATACTAAAAAAAATAGTATCAAATTTTTTCCAAGGTAATTCAAAATATTTTTAAAAATATTTCATTTTTTGAGGATCTAACGTGCAGCCTGTGATGACAGTTAATAATGCTGTACTATATTCTTGAAATTTGCTGAGCGTATATCTTGAGTGTTTTCACCACAACACACACAGAAAAAAGTTAACTGTGAAAAGAATCCAAGAATGTGAACTATATTGATTCCCAGAAACACATTTTTTTAACACTAAATGAAAAGTATGCACACAGTTGTTCATACTGATTACCCATGTATTCAAAGGACATATAAACTAACAAAGATAAGAAGAGTTAAAAATGAAAATATTTCATCTTTCTTCTAAAAAAGAGCACTTTTCAGAACAATGACTCTCAGTCTCTTCTTTAGAAGGAGTTTCCATACTATGTTTATGCTTAACAACTATGATGATTTTTGTTCATTTATTTAGTGCACATTTAATAATTTAATGTATAATAAAAACCTGGTGAAATTTCAAAGGGACAGAGCTTTGGCCAGCTTATTCATGAACTCTTCAGTCTGTTGGGCACAAGTGCTGTTAGAGTATGCGGGGGAATCCCTTCCTCCCTAGACATCTTGTACCCCTCCTCCCATCAAGAGGTAGCACCTATATCCCTTCCTTTCAATTTGGGTTGTTGTGAGTTGCTGTGACAATTAGAATGCAAAGGAAGTGGTGCTCTGAAGCTTTTGAGTCAGGCTTTAAAAGGACTGGTGGTTTCTACTTTTCTCTCTTAGAAACAGTCCTCCCATGCTATAAAGAAGTTTGGACTAGATCACCGAGTCTGAGATACTGCGCACAGAGAGGTGCTGCAGACTTAAAGCTGTCCTGGGTGCTGCAGCCTCTGCTGAGCTCCCAGCTAAAGACGCTGCACAGACAGCTGGGCTGCCCAGCTGAGCAGGCAATGCACACCACTCTGAGAAATTACACGTTACTGCAGCGAGCCACTCACTTGGTTTTGGTTACGCCACTACATGTTTTGAAATTGTTTAATCCTCAGTGATAGATGTATAAACCAGAATGTGGCTTAGAGAAGTATTTTTGGTTAAAAAATTCTAAATTACGTGACCATACAGTAACTCCCTGATTTCCAGAAAGTTTAGGAAAGATGTTTCTGTACTGTGTTTAATTCTGTAGTTAAATAACACATTTAATCATGAAAATTTAATTTGGAAAATATTTCTATAATATATCAGTTTACTTTTCCATTTTCAGAAGAATGATATACTGCTTAGAAGATCATTTTTCTTTGATTATCTCATCCCCTCAGGTAAATTACCATAAACACCAAATGCTCTAGCATACTGTGTGAAATGTAGAAGGTGATAAGATAGCTTACTAAATGTAATTCTTTGAGAATACAATCTATACACAAGTTTTCCTATGATTCATGTTTTCCCTCCAAGTATGGTCAAAAAATGTAACTTACTGCCTAGTTTGTTTTAATAGCTTTAAATTAAAGCAACAAGAACAACAAGAACTTAAAAAATTCTCAAGTTTCCAGAAGGAAGGAAACTTGTTCTTCTCCTAAGGGATAATATGCACCACTAAAGCAAACCTGCTAATAAACCCTGGAATTTACTGTCATCCCTGGAATTATTCTATAATTCCAATTCTAAATATTCTGAAGTGAGGACTTACTGTTGCCAGATCTAAAGGGGTCTGGCCTTCCTGGTTCTTCATAGTTGGATCTGCACCATGCGCTAGGAGCAGGGCACAAAGCTGCGTCCTGCCTTTTTGGGCTGCTTCATGAAGAGGAGTAAACGCCCACTTGTCTGTTGCATTTACGCACGTGTTGTATTTTATCAATAATGCCGCGATGTCCACATGCTGAAGGAAAACAAAAGGATACCAAGGGGTAACAAGGAGATTATCTGGTAAAGCTCCTTCAGGTACACTTGTTTTTACTTAACATTTCATTGCCCCTACATCTCTATTCTCATCCTTAACAGAAGCTTCTTTTATAAAAAAAGAATATTCATTGCACCCTTCCATCTGTATTTTGGACTTCATCTTTTCTTGCTTCCCCCAAAATATCAATTTTGGAATTATTCTGCTACTCTGTAATTCGTCACGGGAGCTTTAAAAATTTTTTTATTCAGCCCTATCGCATATTCAGACCTATCTTAAAATCTCTAACCCACTGCAATCTGATCTGTTTATTAAAACACTCATCTCAAAGATTCTCAATCTTCTTTCTTCAGCCTTTGGGGAAGTAATGTAACGTAACAAAGCAACATTCTACAAAAATTAGTCTGTCATGCCCAAAGTGACTTAGGGGGTAGAGACCATGTCAGCAGCAGCACACACATTAATCACCTGGACAGGCGGTGATCAGAGACTGAGCTGCGATGGCTAGAGAAGAGCACAAAGGAAGAGCTAAATGTGAGAAATTTGGAAGAAAAAAATGGGTTTTAGGAAGACAAATTAACTACAGAGGGAGAGGAAAAAGAATTCAAAGATGACTGTCTTTTGTTTTTATAAGGTAGTCTAGAAGATTTACAAAAAGGTAGAGGGAAGCATTAGCAGAAATCGAATAGCAGAAGTTTAAGTAGGAAGGAAACTTTAAGGAAGGTTCACTCGAGGTATGTGGTTTCTAAAGTAAAATATCTAAGTAATGGTGTTCTGTAAATGGTTTGACACAAAAGGTCAGAGCACAGATGGCAGGGTCATTTATTTATTCATTTATTCTCTCTAATGTACTTGCCCACCAATCAGACATTTGCTGAATACCTATCTGAGGCTGACTTTCATGAGAATGGATAGAGATGAGGAAGGTAGAGACAGGAGTATTGGGATTTAGGGCAGGCTTCTTCAAATTTTCCTTAAAAATTCCTTAAAATATTTTCTTTGCTCTCTTAAAGACACTCACTTCAAAAGGAATAGGTACTTCTGAGGAAGTATTAAAATTTTTTTCATACAATACAAATATTTTCTAATTTTAGGAAAAGTGATTTCAGAAAACAGAAGAAAATTTATTAGGCAAATACAAATCAGAAACGTCTAAGAAAGCTTCCATACTTGCTCTGACAATATAAAAACAACAGCAACAGAGCATAATCAGACCAGGGCTTCTGAAAACAGACCATGTTTTGGACCTTCTGGGGATTATGAATGATATGGCATAATTATGAAATTGATTCTAACACAAAAGATAGAAAGAGGTGACATCTAATCTATAGTACTATCAAAATCACTTAAACCACAGTAATTTATTTCCCTTATTCAAAGGATATATGTTGAAAAGAATAGCTATTTTTATTCAATTAATCCAAAAGCCTGGAGTAATTTCAAGCTTCTTCCCAGTATGGCTACAGGGTATTTAAACTATGTTCCTGGTGATTAATTTTATTCTACTGGCTCAGACAGTAAAGAATTTGTCTGCAGTGCAGGAGGACCTGGGTTTGATCCCTGAGTTGGGAAGATCCCCTGGAGGAGGGCATGGCAACCCACTCCAGTATTCTTGCCTGGAGAATCCCCATGGACGGAAGAGTCTGGTGGGCTACAGTCCATGGGGTTGCAAAGAGTCAGACATGACTGAGCAACTAACACACACATTTGTATTGATGGAATAATATAATCAGGTAGGTGAATTCGTATAGGTCTCCAAAATTAAGGCAGTCCAAGGAAAATTATGTGTGTGAGGATAAAATTAATTATATATACAGTATATGTTATTAAACTTTCTTTATATAAAATCTGTAGTTCATGCTTGGAGAAACCAACTACATGCTTGTTAAATTTGCTGACAAACATCTGAAAATGCAAAAACAGGAAGCATATTACTATACATGTAATATGGTACTTGTATAGTACCATACACTAAAACACTAAAAAATATAGTGTTTTTTAGTCTTAAAAACACAACTCTTAAGTCTTTTAAATAGCCACATCACTGGGAAAAAATTATAACTGAAATTTAAGGCTGATGAATGCAATAAATAGCTACAGCTCGGTCCTACAGAACGGGACTGAGCAAAGTATTGAACTGGAAGGTCTAGAAAAGGAACTGAACTCTGCTGGAATGTTTCCAGGAGTCAATTTAATATGGTTTCAAAATTCAGCTGCAACACAAAATGCTTTAAATGACAAATGTGACATAAAAACACTGCAAGGGCCCTAATTTAATTTTAGCAAGTTGAGAAGCAAGGAAAAGAGAAACGTGCTTGGGCTCCAGTTAGAGCAATTTAATTTTACAATAGTGTCATGCAATTCCCCTAACGTCATATTATACATTTTAGAGAAAGCACTAAAAAATGAAAAAGTTGAGAAAGAAAACTCAGTAAATTGATTTACTCTTATGAAAGAATACAAAACTACATGCTGTGTGGTAAATAAATATCAATGCCTTATATCTACTGAAGAGCAAAAATATTAATGGTAGTGTATAAATGTATATTAAAAATAATATAAGGCATTATAATATAAAAACACTAAGCAGGATAAAGCACATTACCATTAATATATATTTTCATTAAACCTTCAACTTTTATTCAAACTTCTTAAACTATGTGTTTGTTTCTCCATTTGGAAAAACTGAAGTGGTAAGTTCTTTCTATATAAAAAGGCCCAAAGATACACAGAGAGCTGACTGACCTCTCAGAAGAAAAAGGTAAAATATGTATCAAAGAATAATGAACAATAAATAACAGCTTAAGTAACTTTATGTCATTTCAGCTCTCTCACAAAACTATTTTATCCCCAGGATACCAGTCATTGTCCACTACCGAAGTCAATTAATTTGTGTCTATTTAATACTGATTTTGAGTTGGTCAAACACACACTCGGAAGTAATATTTTCTTTCCTATCTGTCCAACCTGAAACTGGTTTGTTGCTTTCCTGAAGAGTGTTTCAACTCAGGACATGTCATCTCCCTGAAATACTGGTCACTAAGAGGGGGCATGAGGAGATGTGGATATGCTCATCATAAAGGGCAAGGAAGGAGAGAGTAAAAGAATAAAAAAGTCATGTGATTACTTTTTACTTATAGTCTGTCAGGTTTCTTCAAATTTAGAAACTGTCCTCACCAATAATGACTCCATTTATAAGAACCCCTGGTATGTACATCCTGGCATCTGGGCACTTTTACAGTCAAACAGGGTTTAAGTGGCTCAGCAGAAAGCACAGAAGCATTCATATTCTTCCTGCATGAATCATCAGACCCAGAGTGGGCCCTGGTGACTTCCAGGCAGGCGGTCCAACAAGTATCAAGGTTGGAATACATCCCTTTCTCTCTTTCAGCTGATGATTATAGTTACAGGGCTTTGAAAGAATAAATTTCGACTTTCACGGTGGGGTTTCAGCTAGTCATTTGAACTGTAAGAAACCATATTTAGCAATCACTCAACCATTTACTTGAATATTTCTAAGATGCTGATGATAAACATAGGCAAGCATAATTTCCATGCTTATAGAGTAACCTGCTGGCTTTTAGAGTTTATAAAATCTACATAAGGTACCATTAAGATTTATTATCTGTATCAATAAATATTAGCTGAGCAGTCATTAAATACCTATTATTTTACTACATAATGTGAAGAGTCCAAAAAGCTGAAAAAATACGGTCTTTGGGCAAAAAGACAGTTAAACCTAACTGAGAAGGCTAGAAACACTTTGAATAGTAAGATTAAAATTGTACTAAATTATGCTGTGGGTTAGGTATCTGTTGGTTACTTCATGCATGGTATGTATTTAACAAAGTAGTAAGTATCAGTGAACTTTTCTGGACTTGAGCATGCTCACCCCATAGGATGCCGCATTGTGAAGAGGTATTAAACCACCTTTGTCTTGGGCATTAACATCTGCTCCATGCTCTAGAAGATACTCTGCTACTTCCAGGTTATTGTAGCCTGCTGTTAGAATGAAAAAAAGGCAAACACATCAGTTTAAAAGAAAAAAAAAATGTATATAAATGATAATGACCAGAAAATACTGGCTTTTTAATACTTTTTGCTTTAAAAACTAGTTAAGAATGATTAAGAATAAAAAAATTTATAAGATTTATAATAAAAATTATGTAAAATGATGTCAGTGAAGCATTTTACTGAGTAGCAGCACTCTTCCTGATCAGCATTTCTTTCCTCTTCTGATGCACTGTATCCAAGAAAGGACATGAGCCTCGGAACTGATAGCGAAAGTGCTGGTGATGCTTACCTGCCAGGTGCAGAGGGGTTGAGTTTCTGCCCTGGGTGTCTCTGCAGTTGATATTCTCTGGGGTACAGAGCTTTTGCACTCTTGCCAGGCAGCCCTTCTTGGCAGCATCCAACAAAGCAGCATCTCCTCTCAGCAAGTCCTGAATATCTGTGTCTCCTTCTTTTACCAAATCTAAAGGTGTATTTCCGTCTCTGTTCTTTTTAGTGGGATCTGCTCCATGCTACAAAATAACCAAATGGTCTTTGTGTTTTCTGTAGCATCTTTGTTATGTTTTGTTTATTTTTAACCTCCACTTTCACTCCTCCAAAGAAAAATACCTATTCTATGTGCATTGTGAAAAACAGAGCAATATTTGGTTTTCTGGCAAATTTCCTACTTAGCAACATATCAAAGCCCCATGCCTCAGGATCACCTGTGATGGTGAGAACAAGTGTCTTTTACTTTTGTAGCATATACTGTCTCAGACTCTATGCTGTCTTTGGAAACCGCTTTTTCTTTTAATGATGACCTGGATATTAATGTTAATCAAATCTTAATTATTAATATATAAAGATATTCAGTGCTGATGAAATGAGAAGAGGAAGACACAGGTGGAAAAAGTATTAATACTCAATTCCAAATGGAATCAGTAAAAAGAAAGTTTGGTAATTAAAAAATATTTCTGTTTTAAGTCTGAGCACCTATGGTGAAATTAGGTAGAAATATATTAACAATTAACTTGATTTAAAAAGTTTAATCATTTATACTTATGAAATAAAGTAAATAAAAGTCAAGAATCTTTATTTACAGGCCTGACACAGATGTTATTGGCCCACTGGGGAAATCTGGAATAACCAACCTAGACAGTGAATTCACAGTGACCTAGAAGTTATTTCTTACTTAACCAGTGGCAATAAAAATGAGTATCAAATACAGTGTTATTCTTAAAACTCATATGAACATATCTGATCCCATAAAAGTGGTAGGAGAAGAATTTTATATTTAACTAAGACAAGTTTCTCTCTAGTTTAAAAAAAAGAGAGAGGAAATGATATAAATACATGTCCAGTCATTTTTCACATCTTTTAATTTTATATCTTTTAATGTTTAATTAATGCTTAATAGTTAGAGATGAGTTTGTTAACAATAATAAAAATAGCTAGCAAGAAAAAAAAATCAAACCTGATGGAAAAACACATTTCTTCTTATATAAATGTCTTCTGATATTAATTCTGTCAGTCACAGATAAGTAATGCAAGCTAATTCAACTCTTTCCAAAACCTACCTTGTTGAATTGTGATGAACTCAACATAATCAAATCAGTTCAGAAAGGCACTTCAGCCACTACTCAAAGCTACAAAAGTATCATGATATCACACTTAAAACACCCCTCTAGAACAGAAAACGGAAGCAGTCTCTACAGCACTTACTGCACTGCATTACAGAATAATTTACCTTGATGTCATTTTACATCCTAACCAAATAATAAATATAATTACCTTGTATTTTATAATTTTTAAAAGTACATACTTTTAAAAGGAGCTTGCAGATTTCATATTTTCCTTTAGCTGCTGCTTCATGTAGAGGGGTAAATTTCCATAAGTCCGCCACATTGACGGAAGCCCCATGTCTTACATTTAAAAGAGAAATAAATGCAAAATGGTAACTGAAATCTAGTGAAAGTGAAAATGGTAGCTGCTCAGTCAGGTCTGACTCTTTGTCATCCCAAGGACTGTAGTCCTTTTCTGTCCATGGAATTCTCCAGGCAAGAATACTAGAGTGAGTTGCCATTCCCTTCTCCAGGGATCTTCTTGACCCAGGGGTCAAACCCTGTCTCTTGCACTGCAGGCAGATTCTTTACTGTCTGGGCAACCAAGGAAGCCCAACTGAAGTCTAAGTTGTGCGATTTATTTCTTAGCAATGTAACTGCACAGGAAGGTGCTTATTTATATTTTGAGATGATGTGAAATTAACTCAGGATATGGAAGCTCATTTCAGTTAAAACTTCCATCGTGCTTTTCTAAATGTCTTCCGTGGCTGCTTTAAACCCTGTCTAAATAAATTGAAATAGTTTCATAAGCTAACACAAAAATAGAGAATACCTGAATTAGTAAAAATGAAATTATGTTTCTATTAATATGGATGACTCTGGGGTGGATGGCTTCTTTTTGGAGGAGACTATACATTTTTAATAACAAAAGGAGGGATGAACAATAAACTATATAAACATATTTACGTAATACAATAAAATACTATATATAGGCATTAAAAGGATGAAATGAACTATTTAGTACTGATATGGAAAGAAATTCAAGATATGCTATTATAAAAAAGGCAAACAGTAAAGAAGACTGTGGGGGATGACATCTTCATTTATGTTAAAAGCAAGCCCCACCTCAACAGCACACACACTGGTACATGTGCTTCAAAACTCCAGACAATCACAACAAAATTTTGATGTTGTAATCTCTAGGAAATGGAATGAGAAGGACTTTTCACTTTCTATACATTTTCATAAAGTTTTCATTTTGGGGGATTCCCAGGTGACTCAGTAGTAAAAACATATCTGCCTGCGAATGCAGGAGATGTGGGTTTGATCCATGGGCCAGAGAAGATGCCTTGGAGAAGGAAATGGCAACCCACTCCAGTATTTTTGCCTGAGAAATCCCACGGACAGAGGAGCCTGGTGGGCTATGGTCCATGGGGTTGCAAAGAGTTGGACATGACTTAGCTACTATACAACAACAAAGTTCTAAGCATTATGCTTTAAGCTTTAAAACAACAACAACAACAAAAAACACACACACATTACTTTTTTAACAAGAGGAAAAAATCTATCATGAAAAAAAATTTTTTTCATTTTTTTTTTTAAAAAGTATCAAGAAAATGAATCCCACACAGTGACATTCTAACACATACCCTTTGTCTTTGGCATGGACATCGGCACCATGGTGGAGGAGGTACTCCACGACAGACACACGGTTGTAGCCTGCCGCGAAGTGTAAGGGCGTGGAATGCCGGCCCTCTAAATCTCTGCAATTCACATTCTGAGGGCTGCAAAGTTGCTTTATTGACACACACACACACAGAAACACAAAAAGAACATTAGTATTTATTTAAGGATCTTGCACCAAAATACTGCAGGCATCTTGGATAAGTTGTAATTCTCTAATGAATATTTCTTTGATTAGATAATACAAGCGACGTTTTAAAATCAGCAAGATGTTTTGCTTTACAGTGTCTACAAATATTCTTATATTTGCACAGCAATTTCACCTTTTTCAACATTTCCTGGCAAAAATCCTAATCAAAAAGAAGAAAACATAATAAAGCAGGCATTTCCAAGGCAAATGGTGCCTTCCTTTCATTGTTACAACGCTTTCTTCCGGGTGAGAGCCTGTCTACTTGTACCAGCACGCTCTTAGTCACTCTTTGCTCAAATAAGATTAACCTTGGCTGACTGCAGAACTACCCAAAATTCTTGCCTGCTTTGACGTGGCAACAAGAAAGCTCTGGAAAAATTACATTCATTCTGTCTGGGCCATCCCTTTGGCCCTTTGATCCATCAGAGCAGAGCCAAGCAGTCACCAATGCTTTAACTGATCTTCAAGGGGATGTTTGTTTAGGTCTAAAAGTCAAGCTGATTCTGCTCATACTAGTTTTTGGCCTTCTATCTCCTTCAGCTGCGTCCTCCAAATCTTCTCTCCTTCACCTGTTCATTTTCCTTTTGAACATTATCATCTCAGCACAAGCCCAACTCTGTCTGCTTACAAAGCAGTGGAAGCAAAGTCAGGCTGGAGAGGCTGCATTATTGGTGGTGACAGATGGATGACAATACAAATATCTGAGTAATAATTTATAAAGAATTTCATTTTTTTTTACAGTGAGAGAATTATTTTCTACTTGAGAAGTTAATCATCATCTCCATTTTAGAGATAAATAAACCAAGGCCCAGAGAGGTTAAGTGACATCCTATGTCCTAGAGTGGTAAGGGGTAGAATAAAAACTCAAACTCCATTTTCCTGATTTTTAATCTTGCAATCTTTCTGCCATAGCTTATTTAATTATTTAATCATTGCTTACTTATTTAATCATCCCAAATTCAGGGAAGTGATGTGAAGAGAGGTAACGAAAAGAAGAAAGGTAAAAAAGGTAAAAAAAAAAAAAAAGCAGAGAAAGTCACATTTTCTAGGCTACAAGGTCTGATGTCAAGGGCTTTCCAGGTATTTGAGAGTCTGGTTGTTGCTCCTGCCACTGTAGTGAGCTGTTATAACAAAAACGCAGAACCTGGAAGTTACCTATAGATATACTGAGAAGGGGCTGGTAGGGTGAACACAGGACTTTTCAGGTGGTACAGTTTTTTTACACAACAGAAGGAAGTCTGGGCATAAGGGAGAGACTCTATAACCTAAAGAGCCATCATCATTTGGTCAGATTGTATCTTCATGACAAGTGAGTCTGTGGCTACATTAATACATAAATTATAGAATCAAAAAATACGTCCCAACTATAGGATCATAAAGATGATTTCCTAGACAAATGTGAGAACCTCTTGGAAAAGGTCAAGAACACTGTTTCAAACTTTATTGTACTATTACTTGGGCTTGCGCTAGCTTGCAAATTTATAAGTGTGGTCCAAAATAACACTTTAATTTTAAAAAGTGGGAAGAAATAAAAAAGAGCATTCACATAACCAGAAGTAAAGTGACTAAAAAGTGACTTAATGAAAGGCACATACTAGGAAATTCTTCATAAAGATCTCTCCTTATGAGTCCACTCTGCTCATCCCTTTTATTGTTTGGATTTGAGTTGTTTCTCTTACAAGCTTAAAATGAATTGGTAAGCGAAGGTTTCAAAGAGCTACCCAAGACATTAAAGCATTGACATACCTTCACAGTTTCCAAGTCTCCGGCTTTAGATGCTTCTAAGAGTCGATAGTCAACATCAGAAGTGCGTACAGGTGTACTTTCTGCATAAAAGACAACGGAAGGTTACTGCTGGTTTTTAAGGACCCAGAGTAGCAAAGGAGGGAAAATTATTTGGTGAATGGAAAGACAGATGTTACCATAAAGGCTGTCAGAGTTTACAGTTAAAACTCTACTACTGTACACTGTTGCTAACTACAAGCTTGTGGGATCAAGTGCTGGTGTCTCAGAGTGGCTCTCAAACCTGGCATTAACAGGGGATGTTAAATAAACCTCTAAAACATTGCCCAGAACAGAACCCCAATAATGTACCATACACTCTATATAACTGATGTGTTCTTTCAGGAGTCTTACAGACAACCTGCAATTGGATTAGTAAATACAGGTACAACTGAAAAGTATGGCCAGTACATGGTCTATAGACATACAATTTTTTTGCAGAAATATTAGTTTAAAAAGTTATGTTGTCTTCTAAATAAAAAAAAAGAATTCTCATTTAAGAAAACCTTTGTAAGGGCAAGACTTTACCACCAAATTCTATTATTTGTATTATCCTTCCTGATCAATAAAAAATATGAAGACTTAAATTAAAAAGTTCTGGCACATACTGAATTAGGCATTTAACGACCCATATAATGTTTTATCTTACTAATCAATTTTTAAGAAGAATTATCAAAATAAAAAAATTTTCTTTTGTGACTCAGTATTTAATTTTATCTTTTACTAGCAGCCATATATTCTAACTGTATTCATTTAGAAGACATTTTAAAAGCACTGCTGGAGCAATCTGCTTAATTTATTCAACCCTTTCCTCCTCATTTTATCAATTACCTCTAAAAACTACAATAATATTATGAGAAATTCTGATGTAATAGCTATATGTTTGCCTGATTTATAGTTCCAACTTGCAGAAACTAACCTAAAATTCACTATTAAATGGTTCTTAGTACAAGTATAAGAGAAAAATTTGGAATGTTTGAAGTTTAAGAATTACAAAAAGGAGAATGTTGATGGGCAGGGCCACAGGCTAAACTGTAAGCAAAGAAAGGCAGGAAAAATTTTCAGGCCAAGAAAATTATTCCAAAGAGCCCCTTAAAACTAGGGGCACAAAGTCTGCGTGTCAGTGGACAGACCTGGAAGAGGAAGAACAGAGGGCAAGGTCTGTTTGTGTGAACTTACCACTCAGAATCTGCTGCACGGCCTCGTTCCCCATTTGTGCTGCTGTAAAGCCTTGTAAGGAGATGATAGAGGGATCAGAGCCGTAACTCAGCAGCAGGCGGCATGTTTGCAGATGACCAGCAAGGGCAGCTCTATGCAAAGCGGTCTGACCAAGGGTGTCCAGTGCATTCATCTGAAAAATCATTGAAGGGGGCACATGGGACTGAGCAGCTGTTTTGTCCCCCTTTATACCCTAGTAAATAAATTCTTGAGAAAAATCAATTGTCAACTTTTATGAAAATACAATAGACTATTCATAAACTATTCACGAGCTCTTGCATACTGATTCTAAAGAAATACCATCTTCTTAGCTGCCCTTCTCTGATCATCTTATTGAAAATTACAATATACCCATCTCTTCCCTGAATGACTGTCTTCCTGTCCATCCTCCATTCCTTGCCACTCTCCTTGACAACTCGAGGTCTCTGTAAGGTCCCCAAGGGCTGGGACTCTTGTCTGAGGTTTGCTGCCTGCCACAGCAAGATGCACATTTTGGATGAATGGGTTCTACCAAACTTGTTCTCAGAATGTAAAGACAACAGAGTAAGTAAGCAAAGATAAAGTAATTAATTTTTCTAATTTTAGCAAATGATTATAATAGAATGACCTAATTGCATTACAGACACATTTAACCAAAAACTTGATTTGAAAATTCAGAAGTTCCATTTTTAAAACTTTGAAAAATCATAATGAAAGAATGTTTACTTTTAAGACTGTTAAGACATGTTAAACTTTGGGATCATGTTTATAATTTGATCAAAACTAACTAGTCCTAACCTGTTTTCTGGAATGCCCCAGTAAAGACTACTCTAGTCAGACCAAAGTCCACATTCATTGCACACAATGCTTCTCTCAGAGAAGCCCTTCGTTCTGCCTTTCTGGATTACGAGATCCATGGCAAGTCTCACCTTTTCTAAGAAGTCTTCCTTGATTACTTTAAACCTTGATGATTACTTCCTTTCTGAACACCTGTGTCAATTCAGCACTATTTTAGAAATTAGAACACTGGGATAATGTTTGTTTACCAAGTAAAATTAAGGTTACTGAAATATGGACTGTATGGCATAGGTTTTCTGTGTCTAGAAAGCTCCTATTAATGGTACACGGTAAGTTCTCAAATACATACTGGCTGATTATTCAAAACACTTGTGTACCCCCGCCAAACACAAGAATAACAGAGGATTTAGGACAATTGGTCTTCCTGTCTCCAGTCTTTCACTGTTGTACGTAAGGCCGTGACACTTTAGGCAAGGGTTCAAATAAATTCTTAACAGTGTTTCACAAAATTCACCGTGAAATACTGACAAATTTAATTATATCATATTTGCTAGCAGAAAAATGACTATTTATACATAAAAGCACAGTCATTATTAGCATGTATTGATGGAAAACACAAGTGGTCAAACTAAACTTGAATTTTTCTATTAATATTTCTATTACGTTCTCACCACAGGAGAAAAACTTAAAACTGAGAACATTCTAATCACTAACATTTTCCTGGAATTTGCATAAAACACCAATTTAATTACAGTGATGGAAATCCTCAATCCAGTTCATCAAATCATGGGAACATGGTTTGAGAAATACTAGTCTAAAATACAGATCTTACCAAGTTACTCCTCAGCTGAAACTCAGGGACTCTTTAATGCCTTCACAAAAACTTGAATCCCTCCACATATCATTAAAGACCATCTGTCATTTACTTTTACATCACCTCCCCTTCTACGATATTTTTTCATCACAATCTGATAGTCTTGCTATGCTCCACTGTTATTAGGTTACACTGAAGCCCTATTCTCTGGAGGTGTTAGTGTCTAAAGTCATTGCAAAAGGTAAAATTTGCCTTTGGTCAAGATTATCCTTGAAGATATCTTAATGCAGTGGTAGAGACAGATATAGTTTCTCAGTAAATCCAACATCAGTTTCACTTCCAGTGTCTGAGCAAATCAACTAAACACCAGATGAAGTACAGAGAGTATTTTTAAACATTAACAACACACTGTGTGTAAGAAGTAGTTATCTCTATAAATATGCGTGGTGGAACTGGGTCCAACACAGAAAACTGCAGATTCGCTTCTCCCATTTCTTACAAACTCTGGGGCATGCACTCATGGAGTGAAATACTGAGCAACACTCACCACTCACTAGTATAAGGAAGGGACGCAACTACATTTACTAAGCACTTACCAGTACTAGACTCTGTGCCTGATACTATATGTTTTAATATATTGTAAGCTATTTAAAAGCAGAGACTATGCTTTTAAGATTTTCCTAAAGAGAATGATTGAGTACTGTAATGATATGTGGCCGGAAATGTATAGGACATAAAATTATGACTAAAAAGTGCCCCAAACTGTTTTGGAAACCAGTAAGCAGACGATAAGGAAATGGTAAGGGGACTCTCTCCAAATTCTAGTCAGTGTGAACAGCCTAGTCTCAACAGCTAACTGTGAAGTTGAGTTCACCTCCTGTCTAAGCTTAAGCTATCTTTGTCCACATCACTCATGTGGTAATTCATCATGAATTATTCTGTGACATTTCTGTACTTAGGAATGTGAACTCACACAATTTTACATTAACTATGAACATGTGATGATGTCCCAATCTGATTTCAAATAATCTGAGAGTTGAAAACGGTCTCTTTTGCTATTTTTTTTTTTTTCTGTTCAAATCAGGGCACTTTGAAATTAAAAGCAAAGAATAGTAAAAATAAAATCCACAATAGAGGGACAAAGATAGGAATCTGAAACAGGTCTGTGTTCTGATAGAAACTACAACCTAGGGAACAGGTGGCAGGCATACTGTAAACTTTTTCGTTTGAAGTTAACAAACACTAGGCTTCCCTGTTGGCTCTGATGGAAAAGAATCTGCCTGCAATGCAGGAGGCTCGGGTTCAATCTCTGGGTTGGGAAGAGCCCCTGGAGAAGGGAATGGCAACCCACTTCAGCATTCTTGCCTGGAGAAGCCTGTGGAAGAAGAGTCTGGCAGGCTCAGTTCATGAGGTTGCAAAGAGTTGGACATGACAGAGCAACTAACACACCCACTTTTTTTTTTAAAGGAACATTAACTCTATCCTTTTTTAAATAAAAGTCTTAATTTTGTTGAATACTGATAAATGATTATGCCAACTATCATTCATACATCTTGAGTCTACATTTCTGTAATTGGTTTTCTAAGAGAAAGTAGTTCCCTAGGAAGTTTATTTTCTTGAAGCAGGATTTGCTCGTGCCATCTGCCTATTCAAAAATTTCCAATGGCTCTCCAAGTATTGTAAGAACAAATCCAAAACTGTCCAATTGAGACTACTAAGACCTTGCTCCAATATGTCTTTTCAGATTTTCCTTAATTCCCCATGAACTACCTACCTATTATTCTATCTACTGAACTAACTAATCATAACTTGTGACTAACAAACTCCTTTGCTTTCCTGATTGAGTCATTATTTAAAATGTATTCTGAGCAAATGCTAACTACATTTACTACTATTTCTATAGATCTAATTCCTGGACATTCCTAGTGAAAATTCTATTTTATTCATGAAATTTCCCCATTCTCTCCCCGGCCTGCCACCACTACCAGAAGTAATTGGTCTCTCCTCTGAATAACAATCTATCTGTCCTTTCCAATCTGATAATAGATATTCAAGTAGACTGTATTAGTTGAGACTATTTTTAGATTTTAAGTGCCTTAAGACAAGAAGCTTTATCAAATTCAAACTTCCTATATACCTCATAGTAATAAGTGCAATGCCTTGTATACTGGGTGTTTGAAAATGGTTGGTAAACGGATGGCTCAAAAGAATGACAAATTAGTAAATTCTGATGATAAAGAATACAGTTTTCGATATACTGTTCTGTATAATGAACAGAGACTACTGAAACATTCTCTAACCAAAAACCATGTATTCTTCTTTCCCCAGAAATCTGGAGGAAAAAAAAGTTAAATGCCTGTGTTGACAGAATTGTTCAATACTGAAAATAACTGACTCACTTTACCTGCAGTAAAAGTATAATTTAAGTTTTTACAGATTATCACAGGCCACTGTTATCCATGGTAGGATGTACACAGGTCAAAGCATCTCCTATGAGGAATGAAGTAAACAAAATGACTACCAATTTAATTCTTAGTGAGAGTTCTGCTACAGTGATCAATATTTTACTCTCAGAGGTTTTTAATCCTTTAATGTGTTATGAATCCATCACAAAGTATAGAATTTTTCTAGGAAGTTAAATTTTAATATAATCTGAGGAACATGAAACTAGATTAATGTTTACTAGCCACACTTGAGTATTATCATTTGTAAACCTCAACATCCACATGTTATTTTGAAAGAAGCAATCAGGTTTTCTGAAAAGAGATATATTCTAATGGTACGTATTTTCTTTGCTTTCTTAAAGGGGCACTCACACTGCCCACATGCCCAAACTGTCAGAGAAATAAGTTGCAGAGTATGGTTGATCAGACTCGAGGTGCCAATGCCACGGCTGTGCTAAACAAACTGAAGTCTCATTGGTGGCTCCCTTTCTCACCTCTCAGACATGGGAGAGATGGCAGCTGCAGGTGGTATATTTCTAAGCCAAACGTTTATAAAGTAAGGGCTGTGAAGATCATATTCAGGCCACAGAGAAGTACAACAGAAAAATACAGTCTATAAAAAGAAGAATGAAGCAGATGAACAAAGACTGGCAGGGAAAAGAAACTCGTGCAATCTCAGAAAGAGAGAGACATATACAGAGAGAATGGCAGCTAAGGAAACTAACAGTTATTTACAAATTCATTGTTCTGTCTTTTGTGAATTTTAGCTATAACTCCCGCAGATCATTTCTTTGGGATTAACTCTGTGGTTATCTCACAGAAGTAATAAGCCAGATTTCTACTTCTGCCTAATCTATATTCAGTCGATCTAACTGAATGGTAAAATGTCTTTGAGACACTGGCCCCTTGGGACTTTATTCTGATATGATCAAACCTCAGATATTATTTGAACTATAAAAGCTGCTTGGGATGTACATTTTTAAAAGCACTTTAAAAAAAAATAAAAGCACTTTAACACTTTTGGGCTGACAGAATCTGCTTATCAACCCACCTCTGAAAGAGAATTAATAAAATCCTTATAATAAGCTAACACATTTC